AGGTGTGAGCCACCGCGCCTGGCCCTTTGCCCAGTCTTGAGTCAGGTTTTTGTTGTTGAGTTTTGGGAGTTCTCTCTGTATTCTGAATATTAATCCTTTGTCAGGTATGTGATTTGCAAGTATTTTCTTCCATTTACTTGGTTGACAGTGTCATTTTGATGCACAGAACTTTTTAATTTTGATGAAGTCTGATTTGTCTTTTTTTATTTAGTCACACAAATGTATTCGATTTTCTGGTGTCTTTCAGCAACATTGTGTGGTTTGTGGTTTGGCGTCGTATCCGAGAAGTCATTGCCACATCCAGTGTTGTGAAGTGTTTTTTCTCTGTTTTCTTCTAGAAGTTTTATAGTTTTCTTTCTTACGCTTGGGTTTTTGCTGCACGTTGAGCTAATGTCAACATAGTATGCAGTAGGAGTACACAGATGTCATTCTTTGCGTGTGGCTGTCCAGTTTTCCCAGCATCCTCTCTTGGGAGGCTTGGGAGGAACAGGGTCTCACTATGTTGCCCGGGCAGGAGTACGGGGGCATCACCACAGCTCACTGCAGCCTCCAACTCCTGGGCTAAGGCAAGCCTCCCGCCTCGGCCTCCCAGAGTGCTGGGACTACAGGCGTGAGCCACCGCGCCCGGCCTAATAGATTTTTTTCAACGTGGACTCTAAGATTTTGTACACACAAGGTCATGTTATGTGAAATCAGAAATTTTCACCTCTTTCTCATTGTGGATCACTTTCATTTCTCTCCCTTGCCCAGTTCCTCTGGCAGAACTTCCAGGACTGTGTTGAGTGGAGTAGGAACGGGGCATCCTCGTGTGGTTCCTGACCTCAGAGGAGAAGCTTTCAGTCTTCCACCCTCGAGTGTGATGTCAGCTGTGGCCTCCCTTGTGTTGAGGGAGTTTCCTTCTCTTCCTGATTTGCTGAGTTTTCATCAAGAAAGGGTGTTGAAATTTGTCAAATGCTTTTTCTGCCTCAGTTGAGATGATCATGTGTTTTTTCCCTTCTGTTAGCGTGTTGCCCTGGTGAGCCTTCACGTGTTAAACGTCCTGCGTGGATCCCGTTTGACCCAGGTGTGTGGTCCTTCCACGTTGCTGCAGGATTCGGTTTGCTCGTGTTTTGCTGAGGATGTTTGCGGCAGTGTTGGTCATGGACACTAGCTTGCAGTTTTCTTGTGTCTTTCTCTGTCTGGCTTCTATATCAGGTGATCCTGTCCTCACAGAATGAGAGTGGGAATATTCCCTCCTTAATTTTTTGGAAGAGTTTGAGAAGAGTGGTATCCGTTCTTCCTGAAATGTTAGGTGAATTCACCATGAAACCATCCACTCCAGGTCTTGCCTTTGAACAGCTCTGTTTTTGAATAATGTTAGGGTCACAGAAAGCTGTGAGGATGGCACAGAGCCCTGGGCCCCTCGAGGACACCCGCGACGTTCAGCTGTCACTTGTGGTGGGCTCACTGCCTGGCCGCGCCCCCTGGGCTGGGTGCGTGTGCAGCCCCTCGGCTACCCGCCTTCTGGGGCCCCAGGCAGGGCGCAGCCACCTAGGGGGGCTGGCCACACCGCCTACTGCCCCAGCCCTTCCCTTTGCCACCTCTGGGTGGGCTCAAGGCCGGAAAGGACACCGATAGCACCTGAGCCCCCGCCCGCCCTGGTCTGATACCAGCTCAGCGTCTTTTCCCCTCAGCGCGTCTTCATGGGGGGTGGGGCGCGCCGCTCTTGGCACCGCTCCCCTGCGCCGTCGAGGGAGCGTGTCGTGGGAGGATGGCTTCATGCTGCCGTGTGCCCCTGCGAGGGACACCCCTGGGTAGGGGGCCAAGGTCCCACTTGGCTGGCCTGGGAGGAGGTCAGGGTCACCCTTTGTTTCCTCCAGGCATCCTAGTGCCCGCCTGAGCACGGCACCCCTTGGGGGTCCCCCCTTCTCTGAGGCTCTCAGAGCCCACGCGCCCCACCCGATCCACGGCCTTGCCAGGCGGGCGGAGACCGACCGGCCCAGGGCAGAGGTGCCTGTCGATGATGCCGGGGATGTGGCTTGACCTGCCCAGGCCGCTGCTGTTGGTTCCCGAGTGAGGGCACCTGGTCACCCGGGGGGGGGGCGCACTGGGGAGGGGCAGCCTTGGCTGGAGGTGACCAAAGCCTTGGGACCTGCCCTGTGCCCGAGGTTGGGCGGCCCCTGGGCAGTGGTTGTGTCTGTCCTGGAGGCCTGTGGGGTTGGGGCCTCCTGGCCCTGGCTGCGGCTTGGCCTGGGGAGATGCAAGTGACCTCGCCTGCGGCCTGCCCCGGGGGGGCCCCCACACAGGGCTCCGCCTGCCTTCCGCTCAGGTTTGGGGTCACGGGGCCCCGAGCTTTGTCAGTGAGACGCTCAGACGGCAAAGGTGGTGCTGGCGCCAGGGCCACGGGGGGCGCTGCGGGGACCGCTCTGCGCTGTTCCCTGTGAGCACGGCGTGTCCACGCGTGTGGTGCCGCCGCACGGGCAGCGCGTGCTGGGCCGGGGCTGTCCGTGCCCTGGTTTGGCCCCGCGGTCTCAGCCTCTCTCCCCGACAGGCCATGGCCTACGCCTCCGAGGACGGGGTCCTCACCGAGGCCATGATGGACGCCCGCGTGCAGGACGCGCTGCAGCAGCACCAGCAGAAGATGCGGTGGCTGAAGGCCGCGGGGCCCGGGCCCGAGGGTGGCCAGCGCCTGCTTCCCTGAGCCCACCGCCGGGACCGACGCCCGCCCTCCCCACCGCGGCGCCTTGCGAACGCGCGTCACCGCAGGCCTCTGTGGCTCCTCGCTCCCGACACTCCTGGGAGGCGTCTTCACCCAGGCTTCTGGGGGAGAGCAGGACAGGACAGGACAGTGCACCCCCAAGACGAGCTGCAGCTGCCACCCTCAGGAGGGGGCCTGGCGTGGCCCTCGTCCTCGGCTCCCACGGGAGCGCCAGGCACAGGAGGCCCATGGGGGCCAGACCAAGGGAGGAGGCCCGGCGCCCCCAGCCCCACCTGGCTGACCAGTGACGTCCCGTGATCGGGGCTGGGGTCTTTTTATCCAGAATGGAATAAAATCTGACACAACACTTCACCACGTGTGCGCCTCCTGGCTGACGCGAGGGTGGGGTCTGTCTAGGGGTGTCTCGCAGCCCTCTGGGGTCAGAGGTGACAGAAGAAGCAGAGGCTGGAGCTTTCTGCAGAATTTACTGACCACAGAGGGGTGGGCTTCACAGTGAGGCACAGCCAGGCCGCCCTGGGGCCGCCACGGCTGGGCGCCTTATTGCTGCACAGCGCCCGCCCCTCCGCCCCGGGCCACGCACACGCCCCATGCACGTGCTCCCATGTGCAGACGGCGCTTGCCCTGGCCTCCCTCCCTCCCCTCCGCCAGAGCCGGCTCCAAGACGCAGACGGACAGCCCACGCGGGGCGCAGGAGAGGACAGGCGGCTCTCAGTGCGACCCGGCCCAGGCCAGGTGCTC